GAGCTGTGGGCACAGAACAAGACAGGATGGGGCGCTGAGGCAGGCCTGCATCCCAGTCCCCCTGGTTATTCAGTCTTATCTTGAGCCCTGAAACTCCAATTCAGAATGAGGCTGCCCTGTACAGTTGCACAGGCTGTGTCCTACAGAACCTAGTGTAATTTTATTGACTTTCCCTCCTGCTAAGTTATCTTTTCTTCAAACTGCCCCCCTCCTCCAAACTATCCCTATTCCAACTCTCTTTCATTTAATTTTTTAATTTTTTGGACACAGAGCCTTGCTCTGTAGTCCACATTGGCCTTGAACTCACTATATGGCCCAGGCTGGCTTAGAACTCACGGCGATCCTCCTGCCTCAGCTTCCTGAGTGCTGGGATTACAGGCGGGCGCCACCAGCATCTAACTCCCCTCTTTCTAGATTCCACAACTCAACACAATAGTGTGATATCCTTGCTGTTCGCAACCCAAAGTTAAGGAATCACATCAACTTGGCAGAGATCATGCTATCTGAGAATGGGTCAGGGGTTTCCAGGGACATCCTTGTCCTGTCATCCAAACTCAGGGAAAAAATGTGAACGTCAAAGGTATCTATACTCACGACAACTTCTCGACAGGTGATGAGGAAAGGACCCCCTTTCTAACTCTTTCAAGACGCTGTATGGGTAGGGAGGGTCCTTCTGTCCCACAGCTTTCTTCTAGTCCCTCTGACTCACCTAGTCCCCATAGTAAATGGCAGACCTCCAACTTCTATCTTTTCGGGGACTCCCAGAGGCAGTCTGGATCTCAGTGAGAAAACTCGAAATCCATTCTCTCTGTTTTACTCTTGGTATCTATACCCTTAAGTGTAGGAGCCAGGCACAGGGCCTCCTAGCCAGAGACTACATTTCCCACCCTCCCTTGCAGCTAGGGTCAGTCATGTGACTATGCTCTGGCCAGTAAGAAGCGTAGGTGTTTTGAACCATTTCTGGGTCACACCTTTAAAGAGAATGTTGCCCGCCCTCTAGTCCTTCACCACGGTGGGCAGCTTGGGACACTTTGGAACTGGTGCAGTGGTCTCAGAGCCAGAGCTGGAGCTTCTTGCTGAGACTGGCAGGATCACCTGGGGCCCTTGGAGAAACCAACCAGTCCGCCTTCACAAGACTGTCCCAATGTGCTAAACTTTTATTTCATCTAAGCCGCTGTACCCTGGGGTCTCTTCATTCCTCCAGCTCAATCTGTAACAGATCCAGTGTTTTCAGAGCAGAACGCGCTAACCACATACTCTAGTGGATACAAATATGGATTCTGAGCTGGGCCTGGCAGAGCATGCTCATAATCCCAGCACTCTGGGAGGGTGAGGCAGCAAGAGTGCAAAATAAAGCCCAGACTGGGCAACTTAGACCTTGCTTCAAAATTTAACTTAAAAATAAAAGAGTCAGGGATGTAACTAAGTGTAAAGGCTCTGGGTTCAATCCCCTGTACTGGGAGAGGTTGGTACCCCAAAATATCTGACTCTAGAGTAAGTCTGTAATCTTTGCTCCTTGACTCAGAGCTGTGTAGCCTTGGCCAAGTTACTCAACCTCTCTGTGCCTCATGTCCTCAGCTGAAAAGTAGAGACACTGGGATCAAAAAGCATGGTGCCCACTAATGTACACAGGGCCCAGCACAGGGGGAATGCTGTCACTGGTTTTATTCAGTAACTGCAAGGAGGCTCTCCACCACTGAATTCTGTTTTCAGACCCCCTGCCAGCTATAGGACACCCTGATACCTCCTGGGCCCCCTAATGGAGAATGAGTCCCTTCTCCTGTCCCATTTACAAATGGGAAGACAGAGGTTCAGAGATTTGCCCAAAGCCTCCTGCTAATAAGTGGCACAGGCAGGACCCGGACTCAGCACAGTGTCACGGACTCCACGGCTCCACCCCACCCCGGTTCTCAGGTGCTGGCCCGGTGCCTCAGTGCCAGCCAGGGCCTGGCCTGCAGGGCACCTACTGTCAGAGCTGACGGCGCCCTCTTGGGACGGATGAGCTGCACACCTGTGCTGTCCTCCACCCTGATGGAACCACAGACTCAGGCCACCAGCCAGAGCCCCGGCAGCTGGAGGATGTGGGAGCCGTGACAATCTGGGGCTTCTCTCAAGTTCTAAAAATGGACCATTCAAAAACTCCTCTCAGGTTCCCAGGGCTGGTGGGTAGGCAGCGGGGCCGCCTGCTTTCCTGGGCTGATGACTTATACAGTCAGGGGGAGCATTTTCCAGGGTGCTGAGGGAAGGCAGCCCGGCTCTCTCCCGCCCCCGGACCTCCTCCCCTGTGCCACCCTTGTACCTGTTTTCTTTGCCATTTGCCAACAGGGAGGGGCGCTCAGCCCCAGGGCGCTCCGTGCAAACGTAGGTGTTCCTGCGGGTCATCATGCTGGGGGGAAGGTTGTTCTGTGGAGACACGGGGTGTGTGTGTGGAGACGCCCTGCCCGCCAGGCCCCACCTGCACCCCAGGAGTGAGTCAGGCCTGCGTGGGGGCCAGGGCAGGATGGGACATGAAAGGTTCCCAGGGATTCCCAGAGCCCTGGTGGAGTCGGGAGATGGGTGGGGCTCGGAGCCGAGGGCTCCCCGGGACGCTGAGGGACGGTGGTCAGGGAGGGTTGTGGGGAGACTCTGTCCCTCTCCCTCTCCCTCACAAGATGCATCCAGCAAACACTTCTTGCGAATGCCCTCCTCCAGCTGCTATGTCCCCCTACCTGCTCAGAGCTCTCCCCCGTACTGTCCCCCCACTGTCCCCTCCCACGGCTCCCCCAGCTGCAGCGCCAGTGCTGGTCCCTCCGGTGTCCACACCGCACCCAGGACCGGGAGCTCCGAGGAGAGTCTGATCGCGCTGGCCCATGAAATGTGTCAGAAAGAGAGCCCTCTCTCTGTTCTCCGCGAAAGGCCCTGGGTTCCCTTGCAGCATCGCAAAAAAACAAGTTGTTTCCTTTTGCGATGGTGGAGCTGGAACTCAAGGGTTCAAACGTGCCTGCCAAGCACTCTACCACCTGGCTGCAGCTGTAGCCCCCAGCTTTGGAACTAGTTCTTCCGTGAATGTTGGTAAGAATTCCACCAGAGGGGGGCTGGGGTGCAGCTCGGGGGCACAGCTCTTGCCTAGTGTGTGCTGGCCCTGGGTTCCACCCCCAGCATCACAAAAAGAATTTAAAAAGCAGCTGGGCATGGTGAGGCTGAAGCAGATAATACCAGCACTCAGGAAGCTGAGGCAGGAGGGTGGCTGAGTTGAGGTTAATCTGGGCTACATAGTGAGTTCAAGGGCAGCCTGAACTATATAGTGAGACACATCTCAAATAAATAAATAACCAACAACCCTCCCCCAAACTAAAACTAAAACCTCAAGATTCCACAAGTAGGAACCACCTGGGGCTACAGCGTTCTCCATTTTGTGTGTGTGTGTGTGTGTGTGTGTGTGTGTGTGTGTGTTAAAGACAGAGTCTAACTATGTAGTTCAGGCTGGCCTTGAACTCACTATGTAGCCAGGCTAGCTTAAAACTCAAAGTGACCCTCCTGCCTCAGCCTCCCGAGTGTTGGGATCACAGGCGTGCGCCACTGTGCTGGCTCCCTCCTGAGATTCTGAAAGCCCCTAATTCCCTGGATTGAGTCCTTCCTGCCAATGATCCAATGCTCCGACCAACATCTTTCTGTTTCTGACACAGTGCCAACGCGTTCACCAGTATCAGGCAGAAGCTCACGAACACAGAGCGTACCCAACAAATGCTGGCTGGATGACCAGGGATCTCAGAGTCCCAAGGGGTGCTCTGGAGGACGGGACAAAGGCAGTGTCCCTCATCGGGACACAGGAGCACCACAGGGGCGCACCGCCCACCTGGGCCACTCACAGGCGTGCTCGTGCTGTCCTTCCGCCGCTCTGGGATCTCCGCCTTGTTAGGGTTGTGGGCACTGCTGACCATAGGGCTGGAGGGGGGCAGCCCCCGGCTCCCGCTGCCTGCGGCGCTGCAGCTCGCCTTCCGGCCAGGCAGCCGCTCCTCCTTCAGCTCCGCCTCCCCTGTGCTGGTCGGGCTGCGTTTGGGGTGCAGGGGCGCTGGGGACGGACCGCCTAGCGGAGGGAGACGCCGTCACGGCACAGAAGCCTCGCAGGGCACTGTGCAAACCTCACCGTTCCTCACACGAGCTACATGCAGTCCGGGTGGGGACATCTTAACAATAACGCAACATCATCAGGGCACAGACACCGGCCAGAAACACCCACCCCTTAATGCCGGGACGGGAGCCCCCAGTCTGGGAGGCCGAAGCTGGAGGATGGCAAGTTCAAGCCCAACCTGGGCCACTTAGCACCTTCAAAGACCCCGCGTCAAAATAAAAATAAGGGACTGGGGATGTGGCTCATGGCTGCAGCACCCTTGAGTTTGATTCCCAGGACTTGGGGGGATTGGGAACAAATGTAAACGCACTTTAACATGAGAGTGGCTCAGCCTAAGAATTTCCATAAAAGGCCACACAGTGTGAGATTCCACTTGTATGAAATGTCCACAAAAGCAACGCGGAGACAGAGTAAGTCAGAGGCTGCTGGGGCTGGGATAGATGGAGGATTAGAAATTGATGGCTAAGGGCTGTGTGATTTCTTTTGGGGGTGACAAAAGTCTAACACTGATGGTGGTAAGGGGTTCACAACTGTTGCTATTGTAAAGCCACCTAATTAAACGTTTTATGTGCATCAAGTGTATGATATGTGACATGTATCTCAATAAAGCTGTTAAAAAATTAGTGGGGAGGATTAACGTCTGAGGAGGAAGTGGGTAACACACCTCTCAGAAGTTTCCATGGTTAATTTATGACAGGAGCGGGGCCATTTTCTGTAGCTGATTAGGTTATCTTTTTTTTTGCAGAAAATGGGAATATAATCCACAGCCTTCTTCCACTAGGAAAGGCCTCCTCTCACTTCATTGTCAAGGAGAAGTGAGAGGGCAGGCTCTCAGCAGCCACTATGTACGAGGTGTTCTGCACTCCAGTTACAGTGGATTAATTCCAACTAGTCTGATATCAGATATCTACACCTGGAAAGTAGACTAAAGTCATTTAGCCCATTTAGGGAGGTGTCTACAACGGAGACATAAAAACTGGTAGAATGAAACCAAGAAAAAAGATAAGGCAAGAGAAGAAATAAAAGAAAAACCAGAAAAGCGAAGGGGAAGTGAGACACAGCGAGCGTCTGCTCCGGCTCTTGTGGTTGTCCCAGATTGGGTCCCTTCCTCGCTGCCTGCAAATCCCACGCACCGCTGTGCCTCTCTGTAGGGATTCCTCGGCACGGGACGGGCCTGGGAAAGTGGGTCTGAGCTCGCTCGGGCAGGATGGCGAGCCGGGCCGAGGTGACACTCACAGAAGTCGCTGTGCCTGCGCTGGCGGTGGTAGGTGGAGGACGAGCTCCGCTGCCCTTTGCTGTGGCTGGCGCCTTTGCCGGAGCTTGTTCCGTTGGTGGTGTCGCTGGGCGCCCGCACCCGTGCCAGGGCCAGCCCTAGGGCGCCCCGGTCCCCACCCTCCTGGGAGTGGGTGACAGACAAGGCGCCTTAGATCCTTGTCCCCAAGGCATCTGCCCCCCGAGGCCCCGGGCGTCCCCTGACCTCAGTCTTCCTGCCCAGCAGGAGGTAGGTGGCGGTCACTTCGTTGTACTTCTGGCTGGTCAAGGCCTCTTTGATCTCTTCCCGAGTGTAGCCCATCCCCACCATCACCTCTGGGACAGGGGTTGGAGAGAAGCGTCAGCCCCCCAGACCCTGCCCTCTACGCAGCCCAGGTCACTCGCCAGAGTCTGCTCTTTGGCCTGCAGAGTATCCATTGTCTCTGCCGGCAGCACCACATTCACCCTGAAGGACCGATTTCCTCACCTGCTTCACACCTCAGGGGCAGGCATATGACCTACATCTGGCCATTCAGAGTATCTCATCCCCCCAAGGCCACAGTGATTGGTTCAGGGCAGGCATAGAACCCAGATCTGACCAATCACAGCATCCCACTCAAGGCCACACTGATTGGTCTGGAGAGACTGATGGCCCAGACCTGGCCAATTGGAGTATTTCATCTGATTAGTTCAAGGACAGCCAATGGCCATCTCCTACTGGACTATCGGAAAAGTTCCCATAGACTGGAAATTCCAATAGCCAGAATGGGCATCCAGGCTACTAGTAAGCAAATGCGCACTGGCAAAAGCTATATGGGAAAGCACCCTGGCCTTCACAGTTACAGGACTGAATAAATGATCATCATTAGTTTAAACCATATGAAAGTGCTGATATTGGCAATTGCTGATCTGTAATTTTTATAGGTCAATTCATATAGTTTAACTTAAATATTTTTTTGGTTCAACCTATTCCCATCAGGTGGTTAGAACCAGACGGACTTGGGTTTTCTGTTACTTGCCAAGGCAGCCGGGCTACCATGGCGGCCTGTTAAGAGTTAATGAACCATTTCTAAGAGGCTCTTCCGGAACTAACAGGTTCAGCCTGACCTGGCCTGTGATCCCAGCTACGTGGGAGGCTGAGGTGGAAGGGTTCCAAGTTCAAGCCCAGCCTGAACAACTCAGTGAGACCCTGTCTCGAAATAAAAAATAAAGGCAGGCCTTGGGCTCGATCCCTAGTACAACTCTGAGGCAGGCTCTGTGACTATTCCCATGTGACAGAGGACCTAATCGGAGGGGCACCACTGTCCGGGATCACACAGCAGGCAGGTGTCCACGCAGGGACCGCAGGCCACATTCCTCTGCTCTCCCGAGTGGCCCGGCACGTTCCACTGAGGCAGACCCAGGCCCAGGAGCCCGGCCTCACCGATTCGCTTGGTGTCCCCGAAGTCCTCCTCGGGCTCCGTGTATGGCTTCAACTCCTCACCCTCGTAGCCGATGTTGATCCATTTGTCCTTCATGATTTGCTGCAGGATAGGGGTGGGGAGGAGGGTCAGAAGGAGCCAGAAACACACAGCCCCG